GGGCGCTTAGCGCCGGGACCGCACCAGCCTGTCCCCTTGGGCAGGTATTAAAACCTACCGGCAGCGGGAAAGCTTTCGGTCTGAAGGCACGTCTGCATCTACCGGGCGCTACCCGCTACTCTGGGTACCCACTGTAAATGTGCTTTTTACTTTCAGAAGAGTGTTTCTGCCCCCTGTGCTTTCCTTTATTCACATAAGTGTAAAGTTCTTTAAATAAAGTGTGCAAAACACCTCTTAGCTGACTAAACCAAACTAACCCCCATATCCATACAATCAATTCTTTAGGGCATTTAAAGCAGACACAAGCACAAACCTCCTCAGTATATTGAACGTATGAGATCTCTCTGTGGCAACTCCCATGATCAGAACGTGATGAAATCTAACACTAAATGACAGTTTTGATGAATCAAGTTGCTTCCTTCCAGCTGTGAAGTTGCTGTGTATATTCACCGTAAGTACTCTTAAGTGGAGGTCGTTGGCAGTACCATTCAAATTTCTCCTGATGGGACACTGTCCGTCCCTGTCCTCCGCCTCCCCGAGTGCACCCTACCATTAAAAATGTTAACATCTGAAGGTATGTCTCACTCCCATGCCTTTAGTCACACGAGCCCCTGTGCTGTAATTTTTTACAACCAGCGTAGTTCACATTTGTGTGTCTGCAGCAATGTATTTAAAAGGCAAATGAGGTGCTACACCAGTATCAACCAAAAAGCCTGTATTTTCTAAGAAGACTTTTACCAGGAACATCATCATGACAGACCACTCCATAAAAACTACCCAAACAAGTGACGTTTTTATTGGCAAGTTCTGCTAATGAATTTCCTTTTCCACACTTGTATTTCCTAATAGATGGACTAAAAAAAAAAACAAAAACAAAACCCAAAACAAAACAGAAAACATTTTGGGTAATATTCCATTTGCAAACAGTAAAATTATTTAACATTTAAAAATAAAACAAAGGCTAACAATTTTAAATAGAAACTAGGAAAACCTGCCTGGTTCCCCCAGTCGCCGTTCCTCGCCAGGCTGCCACCGCCTCTGGCACCGAGGCTCTCTGGAGCTCAATTAAAAGGACCGGGGCGTGTGCTATTATCAAAATTCAAAGCCCTGTTGTACATTCTTCACAGGAAAACTTTTATAAAACAGTTTGCAGTAAACCAAACAGTAATTTTTCTTCCTTTATTCTAAAGCTAAGTCATACTGAAAATCAGGGGGGGAGGAAAAAATTGTGGCTTCAACATTCAGCTACTTTATCACACACAAAGATTTCTACTAAAAGCATACCCAGGTTGAAATACACATCTGATTTCTGTCACGAGGTTAATGCTTATGGGGGGCGAGATGCAATCTACTTTGGAACACTAAACACATCACTTCTTGATAAGCAAAGTATTGTTTTTAGCCTTTTGGACCAATGCTTAGTAGCAAGGTTGTTTCTCCTGCATCTTGCCAGGAGAGACAGTTTTCACCGCTACCACAAATAAAAAGATGACTGGTGATGATCTCATACCTTACCACCAGTTGATCAAATGTTCTGTTTAACACGGTTGTTTGTATTCTGAAAAACTTGTAGTTTAATTTTTTTTAGGCCCCAGAGGCTTTGTACACCAGAAATTCCACAAGTCAACCACAGAGAGTTGCAAATTGGTGTCCACAGCAATTTTGAGGTAATCCACAATAAACCTGGCTCCGCACCTGAATGTTCCTCTCAAGAACAAAACAAAACAAAAAAATCAACCCAAAGCCCTAGCTGCAGTGGAAATATAATTTAAAAGATTCCTTTCATTCCCATGTTCCACCACATTTGATCAATAAGGACATACTTATTTCCCAAGGGGCACAAAAAAAGCCTTCTTCATCCTTCTCCTGAACTGTTAATTTCAGTACTTCATTCCTAAATTTCTGGGTGCATTCAGAAGAGATGGAGAAAGGTGTTATTTTCTAGCCAAACCAGAGAAACACATTCAGACACTGTTTTTTGGTTTATTTAATTTGTGAAGGTGCTCTAGGAAGATGCCAGCGATCCCCTTATGTTGAAAATAGCAGCGATTTGTACTCTAACTTCGAGCCTGTGAGGAAGAGGCCAGGGAATGATGTGGAGCAGAGAGCCTGAAGACCAAGGTAAGAAGAAATGGTCTCCTGGGTCTGGATTTGGCTTGATAGAACCACATCTATTGAGGCAGTCGGCATCAACAGAAGGTTGCTCCTGTTGAACATGAGATGCTGCTTCACAGCGTGGGCAGGTTCCTAAGGACCGGGTTGCCCCTCTTACTCACAGGCTTTTCTGTTAGGGCTGAAGGGGGAAGGACAGCTTTATTCTTCCTCTGTTCTCCTTTGAGGAGTACATTCAGAGTAATTTCCAAGAAACCAGAGCTGTAGTGCTAGTTGTAATAAATTGCCTGCAACATCTTAACTGGTTACATTATTTTTCATGAAAGGTGGAAAACCTTTACAAATGACCTCATAAGGAAATAATTTGCTACTTCCATATTTGTAGAAAAACCACAGGCAGTAGTATTTTCTAAAGTGCTTCTTTACTTATCAGTTACTCTTTTAAAACTCAGACTTGTCTTTTGTAGCTGCAAAGTTTCCTAATAGTTCACGGACCAGTAGATAGTTTCTGATGTAAAAAACCCATTACATATTTTTGTTAAGCAAATGACACTTGCTTTAACAAATGCACCAGAGTGAATGATTTAAGTGCAAAACCCACCATTTCTTAAAACACGGCCTTATGCTGGTTTATTTAATGCAACTTTACATCCTTTAAAAGTAGTTTACTTCAACTCCAAGAGCAAGGATTAAATAATACAAATAAAAGTTGAAAATTCAATGAAGCTATTGCCTATTTACCCTGAAATAAAAGTCTTATGATTCCATTGGTGCAAAAATCCCTTCAAACACCTTTGTTTTATTGGCAAAGTCATTTAAGGTCACTTTTGCTTCCAAGACCATCTTCTTCCGTGGTTTCTGCTGAAGGAGTTTTGCTTTGTAATGGCTTGTGGTTCCACAGTGATTTGTAAATGGAAAACCTACTATGAATAAATCTACCATAGTCACTAAATTACAGATACTGTCATGAGAAAGTCCAAAACTTACAGTGTTTTTTTTTTTGTAAATTTTCAGCAAGACACAAAATTCCAGTCCAGTTAAAGTGTTTTCTTTGAAAGCCATTTTAAATGGCAATAAGGTGGCTGCTGTGCCTTCTGGCTGGAGAACTTCACGTGATGCCCGATGTGCTTCTTACGTGGTAGGTGGGTACCGCGCTTCAAATGTACCCAGGGGAAGGTGGGGAAGGGCCCCCGCAGGCAGGCACAGCCATTGCAGTCAGCTACTCCTATGTCTATAGGGCAGTAGGTTTGAATCCGCGTAAGGAGAACCACAGCTGGGTGGCACGTAGCAAAGGTTGGGGTCGTCTGTTCTCGGGAGGCGTAACGCAAAGCACCCCAGGCAGCGGCAGAGAGAAGCGCCTGCGACGTTCCGGGTCTGTCGAGCAGCAGCGTCGGCTTGCGTGGGAAGGTGGCGGCTACTGCTGAGACAGGAGAGCGCTCCGGTTGGCTTTCATCTTCTCCAAGCGCTTCACTAGGTGACCGTTGCTGACTTCAAGCTCTTCGGTTTTATCTAACGCTGAACGAAGCTGAAGGAAGGAAGCAGAAAAAAAAAAATAAATCCACAACTTCCAAGGTGTTTTCTCTTTCCAAAGGTAAAGCAAGATTTGTAGTTACCAACACTAGCTCACCATATTTCTAGAATTCCCTTACAAGATAAAGCAGATGGAAATTCCTATTAGCAGAGTTAAAAGGTAGAAGTCGTGTAACTGCTCTGAAGGCCACACATGGGTATTTTCTAAGCATGGTGCCAAGAATCCAAGGCAAGTGTAGAGTTGCCTCATAGAAGCAAGTCTCTGCATCTGGAAAGGAATAACCCCATGAGGGACTAACCTGTTGGAAAGCAGCTCCACAGAGGACCTGGGAGTCTTGGTGGGCAACAGGTTAACTGTGAGCCAGCAGTGTGCCCCCTTGGCCAAGAAGGCCAATGGTCTCCTGGGGTGCATGAGGAAAAGCGTGGCCAACAGGTCAAGGGAGGTTCTCCTTCCCCTCTACTCTGCCCTCATGAGGCCACATCTGGAGTTGTGTCCAATTCTGGACTCCATCAGTTCCAGAGAGACAGGGAAATACTGGAGAGAGTTCAGTGAGGGCTACAAAGATGCTGAGCGGTCTGGAGCATCTCTGTGCTGAGAAAAGGTTGAGAGCCCTGGGGCTGGTTAGCGTGGACAAGAGAAGACTGAGAGGGGATGTAAGCAATGCTCATCAATACCTACAGCACGGGGGTCAAGAGGATTGAGCCAGACTCTTATCAGTGGTGCCAAGTGACAGGTCAAGGGGCAACGGGCACAAACTAGAACACAGGAAGGTCCACCTAAACCTAAAGAGAAACTTTTTTCCTCTCAGGGTGCCAGAGCCCTGGAGCAGGCTGCCCAGAGAGGTTGTGGAGTCTCCTTCCCTGGAGAGATTCCAAACCTGTCTGGATGTGATCCTGGGTAACCTGCTCTGGGTGACCCTGCTTTAGCGGGGAGGTTGGACAAGATGATGTCCAGAGGTCCCTTCCAACCCCTAGGTGGATTTTTGTGATTCTGTATTTACAGAAATTTGAACAAGTTGCATCAACTTCAGAGGCATGGATGCTCAGAGCTGGGTGACATATGCCTGGTCTCACTGCCTGGCTTTTATGTTTCTGGTTCCTGGAACTACAGCTACAGGTGTGACTTTGGTGCCTTAGTTCTCCATAAAACCCAACACGGGATGGGTGTAGGGAGAGAGAGGTGGACTGTGTAGAGCAGTATTTATAGGCAGCAGAGCAGAAGAGACAAACATGGACAGAGTCTGTGGATGGACACCCCACAGCCAAGAGGCATGAATAGATTGTCAGAATGAGGAAGACAGGTTCAATAGGAAAATTCATTCTGAAGTCTCTCAAGCTTGAAAAGTTGAGACTGCCATTCCTGGTAAGGTGTGGCACTGTGCTCAAATAATGAAGGGCCCAAATTAACTTCTTTAATTTCCAGCTTTCTACTGCTGTAATTTCTGAATTGCATGAGACGACCAGTGACTTGTATTTACAAATCCAGAATTTCTAACACCCAGAGTAATGAGCTTTCAAGTACAACAAAGGACAAGCACAGGAAAGTACAAACAGGAGTTCTCTAGCTTGATGATTACCCAAATCTGGGAATGCTCAGAGCTGCAAAGTAACAAGCAAACCTGAGCATTTGAAGCCTGCTTCTGGATTCAGGTTGGGTAAGCAGAACTTGAGTTTGCCCCAGAGAACCAGCTCTGGTACAAAGCAAGGCGCCGCGAGTCGCTTTAGGAAGGACTTCTGAAACGGCAGTGGGAGGCCACAGCTGTGACTGCTACTCCAGTCTGAGTGCTGGAAGTTTGGTTACACATTTAGAATGAGTAACTGAAGCAATAAAAATAAGTAGATGTTTATTCTTTGCTCTGCTACGAAGGCCAATTCCTCCTCTAAAACGCAGCACGCAGGCAGGCCCCCCCCAGGGGCGTGGGCCTGTGAGCCGGTGACAGTTTGTGTTTGGCGTTACCTCTCTCTGCAGTTTGCGTTTCTCTGCCTTCAGTTCATCTTCTACTCTCTCAGCATTTTCAGCAGCAGTTTTGTACCGGGCTACCTGACCTTCCAGTCGTATCACCTAAGGCAAAGGCAGATTTTTTTTTAAATTAAAAGGTGTACCAAGAAGTTACTCTGAGACTTCACTCTTCTGCTAGTAGTTAAGCAATAACCAGAGAGATGCTCACTTCTCTTTAACAAAATAAAGGCATATTTTGAGGGAAAAAGAAGAATACTATGTAACTTACTTCAGACCTTTTAGACTTATCCATATTTAACGTGCTTTCAGCAACAACAAACATAATCCACTGACTAAATTTACCTTAGCAAGAGTATTCTTGACATACTTTGGACAAGAGCATGCAGCCAAAATTGAACAGTCCTGTATAAAATCCATATCCATTACATCATATGCCAGGAGCCATTTATAAAATTGTCAATAGCTAGGTGTAAGAAGGTATTCTGAAGAGTTCAGCAAGTGCTCCCAATACAGTTTGGTCTCTGAATGTTTTGCCTTCAGTCAAGATGAATAATGTATTCTCTCTTCCCCACACGTTTATGAAAGCATTTTCATCTTTATGACTTAAGTGCAGTAGCCCTGATGCTCCAACATTCCTACTTATTTTAAGGGAAAAAATCACAGTAATGACAACTTTATGTTTCATAGAGTAAAATACACTTTCTCTTTGCATTCTCACCATGCCTAAAGAAGGAGAACAAGCCAGCAACTTACATTCTGTTCCAGTGCCGTTATCTCCTGCTCAGACTTTGCTAGTTTAAATTTGAGATCACTGATCTGTCTGTTGGCATCTCCTAAAAGAATTGCAGATTGATCAGAGATGTCAGAACAAGCATTAACAGTGTCTAACAAGTCTGTCGTAAGATTTTCATGCTACAGGAATCTACTTGGGGCAGCCATAGAGTCACAAGTGCTCTCTGCCCAAAAAGTGCTCAGCAGATAGGTGCTATTCCCAGTCTCGCCCCTTTCCCTTCAGACCACTCTGGAAGCAGAATTAACCAGGAACTCACCCCAGCTCTCCTGGGGAACAGAAGGGAGATTTCCAGTTGCAATCTTGCTCATACAAAGGATAATTGTTCCCTCACCTCTAGCAGAGATGCACGGCTGGCTCCCACTTTGAAGCTCCCTCAGAACCGAAGGCTCATTTCTACTTAGAGCCCTGTGGTTATTATACAGATACATTTTCTCACTCACATGCAGGACACAAAAGTTCTCTTAAAATCAAAATGCAGCTCACTTTGGAGGTCAATCATGTGCATATCTGTCCCATTTTCCAGAACTTCATCTTCTGACTGTGTATTTTCTATCTTGCCATTCTTTTGCTTTTCTTCCAGTTGTCCCTTTAATTTTTTAATCTGAAGGACACAAAGTAATTAGTTATTATAATCAGTATGGGAAAATAATGGACGAGTACTCAAATTCACTCAAGTATTATAAACCATATTATGTATTTTTTAAACTTAAATTCCAAAATAATCTTTTTTTACAAAATAATTTCCTAGAATTTTTTCTGGCAAATGACTCATGATATTTTAAGTATCCGTGCGTGTGCTTAAATTCAGAACATCACAAATGGAAGAAGGCTATTTTAGCAGAAAAGCCATCAATGTTCTTTAGGCACAGTGACATAAAACATTCCTAAAACCCCCAAACCACATTTGTTTTGGTGTGATAGTCCATAAATGAAAATGGAGCATCCTGCAGAGGAACAGGTCAGCTCAAGTTTTTTGAATAAGCTTTATATCCGCTATGGAATATCACGGCACCAGCAATAATTACCTTAATTGCTATTTACCCATCTACTGTAGTTCTTCCAGCATTTCTTTTTGAATGGCCCATTACCCACAGACCTGGCAAGTGGGAAAGCTTAGTGGTATAGGTAAAATTTTCTTCTACAATTTCAGGAACGTATGTGGCTTTCCCTTGGGTTTGGCCAATCTAAAGCATTATTTTTCATAAATAGCCCTGGGAGAAGGAGTTTTTAGGTGACTAAGGACGCTGAATGTGACTGGTTAACAACATGGTTGAGTCCTCATCACTGGTAGGAAGCCATGTAGATGTGGTGCTGAGTGATATCATTTAGTGGTGACCTGGCTGTGCTGGGTTAACGTTCAGACACGATGATCTTAAAGGTGTTTTCCAACCTAAACAATTCTGTGATTCTATGGAACAGGCATACTGGGTTGTACCTTTCTTCCCCTATACCCTGAGTTAACGTGCAGGAGAAATGTTTCAGAGGAAGGATGAAGTGGCAAACAACACAGTAAGTCCTCAGCAAGCGCAAGCTGGCATGTGTTCTGAAAGGCAGTGATACTGCTGTTCTGTACCTTACAGTAGGGCTATTATAATTTGCTTGATCTATACTACTCCAATCCCAGATTTAGTAAACACAGCATTTCAGTCTTCCTGTGATTACCTGGTCTAGTAAGGATTCTCGTTCATCAATGAGTTTTTTCAGCCTGTCTGAAAGAGAAAATGGGAAGTTCAGTGCTGATCTGATCAAGCTGCATATTTCAAAGTGCATCTGATATTAAGACAGAACCATTAAGGTTAGTGAAACTAATGATGAAGGTAGTTATGCACGTACCACAGGAAATGAGGCCACAGACAGGGCTGGGAAGGGGCTGCAGCCAGGGGAGGTTATGTCATTCTCACAGAACATGCTTGTCACGGCAGTGGCAGCACCCAGCTGCATGCAAAGAGGCTAATCTTCTATGTTAGGTTAGCATGCAAGAACTCTAGGGTCAAACACAACTGCAACACAAAATCTCACAAATCTTTACATTTTAACACAATGAAAGTACTGTAAAAACCTATAATCACAGCTAAGCACATTCTCAGCACTTTAAATCTTCACTTCTAAACATCATGACAATCACATTTTGTGCTATCTCCAGTATTACATCCAGGAAAAATATTTGCCTGTTAAATGATTTTTTTGTTTCAAAAGCAGCAGTCTGGTAAAACGTTGTTTTCTCTTTAATCCCTCATAGTCAGTTCTCCTGGTCAAACATCAAGCAGGCAATGGTCAAGCCAGACCAACTGTTGTGCTACACTTGAACCTGAAAGCACTATGGATCGGCCCACGGATCCGTGTGGCATTCAGTAATCGAGTGCACACTACAGTATAAGACAACTGGGAAAAAGAACTAGAAAGTAAGTAACCAAATTACTTTTTTCTTCCCTATTAAGTGGTACAAAATACAAAAGCATTTTAGAAGATACTCACAAATTTTCTTATTACTAAAATTACCTCATTAATTAACCACCTTATTTTGTTCAGGTACACCTCAAGAGAAGTACACTGGAACACAGCATTGAAATATACCGATTAGAAGAGAACATATTGACCTCAGACAGGTCTTACTCCATCATTTCCATGTGCATGTTTACTGCAGATTTATTTTAGTTTGCTTCCCTTGCCAGCAAGCAGTCACTTGTGCAGACCCTGGGGTTTTCAGAGCTCGACTCCACAGCTAAGGTCTGGCCTGTTAATTAAATGGTTAAAATCCAAAGGTCGCTCAAGAAAAAGGTCTTTTTGTAAACTTAAGGAAAACAACTAAGGATTACAGCTAAAAGGCTGGTGAGCTTTTACCAGGTAAATAATGATGATAGACAAGTATTTTTGAAAGCTTTAAAAATACCAGTCTTCATTTGTTGTTAAATCCCAGACAGGCTGAAGTCTTGTGGTTCCACCTTTTTTTCTTATTAACACAGGTAGTAAGGGGAATAGAGTCTGTATGGCATCAAATCATGGGGAAAACGGAATGGAAGTCCAGTCCATTAGCTAGTAATGACATGCTGTGCCATTCCCCTCCTGGGTATACAAGTTCCCACATACCAGAAGTCATTCTAGAGCACACAATAAAACCTTTACCTTGGCTTCTGGTGCAACACTCAAATACAGATCTTAAAGTGACATCCCAGTTCAGCAGTTCTATGCATTTATTTTGAACCTCCTCAAGTCCTATTTTTTTTTCCAGCCATTTGTAACATACCCAACATTGTTACACCTGAGCATTGATATGGAAAAACAAAATAAACAAAAATTACAAAGAAAGCACATTTTTTGTAAACTATGAAGAGTAACAAAAATTTACACATATAAACCCCTTCAAATTAATAAAACAATTTCCCATATCTATATTGGAAGGGAAGGTAAGGAAGCTTAAGACAGAAATTCTGTAAATGATGAAAGACAGAGAAGAAAAATAAAAGTCAATGAAGAACGCAAGAAAAGCAAACAGTAAAAGAAAGGTTAGATATTCAGACTTGGGAGATCAGGCTGGGAGTCAGAGGTCAGCACAGATCAAAAAATTAAGCCCTAGGGATTGGAAAGAGAACAGGGATTGATGCAGAAGGAAAGCTCTAGGCCACTACGAAATTAGCCCAGACTCTAATGACTCTAATGGGGCCAAATAATCCACCCTAATCCTGAAAATAACTTAGTCATGCACACAGACAAGTAACTTTCAGTAACACAAGCACTGCTGCGGGGTGGAATATGCCTGCCTGAACAAAGGACATCTCCCCCAGCTTCCAGTGAGGAAACACATCAGTTTCCCCCAACCACCTTCCTTGAAAAATGGGTATCAACATTTTGTGATGAACCTTCAAATCTGTTCTCATCATCAGCTTTCTCTTCCCTCAGTATGAACATCTGTGCACCATGCTCTGACAGGTTATGTGCTGGTGGCAGGATTTACAATACCACAGAAAAAATCAGTTTGCTAAAACTGCAACACAAGTAGAAAAGTTTTCTGTGTGTATAGGTGAAGGTGTCTTCCCACACTAACACAGAAAGCTTGATTCAGCAGCTATCACTGCAGTCACCTTAATTCTACATTTAGGAGACACTTTTTTCCAACAAATCAAGGATCTGAGGACTTTGAGAACAGCAGAGCAGAAAAGAGCAATCTAGTGATTCTAGGACATGAAGCAGAGCAGCTAATTAAAATTCTCACCTGCAACAGTCATCATCCTGATTTCACAAAGATACCACAATGAGTAATTAGCATGACATTCATCACACTTAAATTTAACTTTGGGAATGCAATTCCCAAGCTACTCACTACACCAATTCATGGCTGTCTATGCAAAGGAGGTGAACAGGGGGCTGGTGCCAGGAACTGGGCCCTGAGAAGGCCAGAGAGAGCACGACACAGAGGAGGGGGAGTGGTGGTGGTTACCAGTGTCTTCTGCCACCATACAGACCTGTCTGCAAGTCAAATGACTATTCTCATTACCTTGGTATCACAGCTGACTCAGGGTGTTGCTAACTAAAGTGTGGCTTCAGTGGCACAGTTGACCTAACGTGCCCTAATCAGCCACAGACGCTTGATGTCTCTTCCTCCTTGGAGGGCACCATGAGGTGTGCAGTGGCTGTTTTGAACCTGAATGATTTGAATGATGTGTGGCCCAGCAAGTAATTAATACAGATGCAAATGAAAGGGGTAAACTGTACTTGGAAGGTGGGAAGACATCCCATGAAATCACAGCAGCAGCCCCAAGCTGCTATTCAGAACAGCCTGCAAGGACCCAACTGTCAAATCAGTTGCAGGTTGGATAATACAACTCCAGATCTGTCAGCTTACTTTGGATGACGAGAAACCACCACCACAGACTGAGAAATGCCTTCCTCTCTCCTCAGAAGAGGGATGATGCTCAGGACAGGCTGTTTGGACTGTAAATAAGCACAGGATTTAGAGGACACCAGCTCACAACACCGATTCTGCAGGGGGCAGGAGGACTGTTCTTTTCTGTAACAAAGGGAATATTGACTAAGGCCTTTCACTAGCACTTGCTGAGTAAGGCAAACAAAAAAAAGTTTCTTCAGCTACTGCTTTTGAAAACCTTTCAGGCTAGCTCTGAATGCCCAATACTGCACAAACCTGGGCTTCAGGCTACCTGTGCCCCTAGGCATTGAACCAAAACCACAGCGAGTGTTTGGAGCTGTGGAGCCCTTCTGAAAGACCCCAGGAGTGGCTTTCGCTGCAGCACGCAGCAGCAACACTGCCCCTGCTCCCAAAAAAACAGGTAACATCACAGCAAGGACGAATCTTCATTTTAGGTCATCTCATGATTTCTTGGTTTCAAGTTAGAGCATGAAAAGATTGATATTTTGCTGTCTTTGAAAGTCAAAACCAAAGAAGAAAGGGACGAGCTAGATCTTTTCTTGTATCTCTTAGATATTGCAGTTAAAAAGCTAAAAACTGTTTTTGATTGTGTAACCTCACAAAAGTTGCATTTCCTAGTTAACTCCTGAGACAGTCTCCTCTCCCTCTCTAGTGGCACACATTTCTCTCAATGCTACCTGGCATATAATATTTAAATTATTACATTTTGAATATAACATTTAGCAGTTCCCTTTATCTTCAAGATGCTTTATCTGGGACACCTCCCCCTCTCTCTCAATGTTTGTGTACTCTGTTAAAACCCAAAGAGGTAAAGAATCCCATGACTTTCTCCTCCAAGGTACTTGCCCAGATCCAGACGTCAGTGATGAGCTGCCAGCAGAGGCACCACCCAGCAGCCCAGGTTCAAGGCTGCCCCTCTAGCAGCTCAGCTGTCCTCCACTGCCTGTCCATGATCCTGCTCCCACCCAGTGCCACTGCCAGTTGGCCAGTTACTGTGGGGTAAAAGCTGGTACGTGGACAGTTAAGACTACAGTTGTTTCTCCTTTTGTGACTTGGATTTAGAAAGGACCTCTCTTACAGATGTTTTTTTTTTTTCTGAAGTGACAGTCCAAGTTAAAAAAAATCAGCTCACCATAAATTCCCTCAACCATCCAGAAGCGTTTCTTTTAGAAACCAGTTTATACAAAAAATGCAAGGAACACTGGCATGTGCCTGATTTATCATGGAGATGCTTATTAGATCCATCCACAAGTATAGATGAAGCCTGGTACTCTTGTTTAATTACATAAATATGTAAATGTATTTAACTAAATATAAGCACATTTAAAATACCTTCAACATTAAGCCCTATATTACTGATGCAAGTACAGCAGAGACAATACTTTAAATAAATACTGCTACAGTAGCAAGTGTATCAAGAGATTAGTTTAAGTTCTATGGCTTTTTAGAGTAGCATTTAATGTAAACCTTTAAGAAGAACAACTACCAATACTTACAGAAACTACACTGGAACTGTTGTAAGTTGGGAGAGAAGCCACATGAAAAGAGTTGCAGGTTTACAGTCTTGTTACAGGTTTACAGTGAAGGGCACCTCAAACACCAAGGCTGCCCATTCCTAGTAAGATGCTCTCCTAGCTACACAGCACAACACAAGAAATTTAACAAAGCTGCAGAAAAATGCTTCTGAAATTATATAGATTTAAATAAAGATTTATGCAGGTTTATAAACTGTACTCTGGACAGGTAATTTAAAGTAGAAAATATGTTTATTTCAATTATATACAGCTCAGTACATTTTGATACAGATCTTGAAATTTAGTCTGAGTCCATCAACTTTGTAACATCAACACAAACACAGCCTTCCATAGCCCCCTGCCCCAAGTCCTCAATTCACACTTCTTTGGGACGTCCCTTGCTTAAAACAACTTTAAATGAACTTTTGAGTATGCAAAACATGCTTTTCCTCCCAAGCACTAGTGAAGATGCAAGAAGAATACACCAATAGAGTCACAGCATCTAGTTTATGCCAGCACTTCAAAGCAATCCAGCTTTTCAAAAAGGCACGAGGGGCCAAAGACAGTTGTCTCTGGTCTGACAGGCAACAAGACATGCAAATCTATATCAGGTAAGAATTTTTCAGAGATAAAAACATTCTTTCAAAATCATCGTTTGCAAAATAAAAAAAAAAAATACAATGCAGTAAGGAAATGCAATTTTAAACCAAAATCTTCATGGAAAAATAGATATTTTATATATATTTATGGCTAAGACAGTCCTTGACAGCAAACCTAAGCACACATTACAGTGTGTATTGACACATTGTTCAGAAAAAGTAAAAACCCCGTGTGAGACACGGTGTAAAAGGCCTATTGTGGTGCAAAGTGCCTAGATGAAGCAAACATGTATATTTAGTCCTTTCAGCAAACTAAGATCTGTAAGTTGCACCTTTTGCAAATAACTGTATATTGGTCTTCCAAAGTGTTCCAAAAAGAATTTGGTTCCTTGGCTTTAACAATTCAGAAAGAAGTTGCAGCATCTACTGAGTTCCTTCATGGAATGTTACTGTATTTACTGTAGATCTACTGCATATAAGTATACATAAGTCTGTGCATAAGTTTACACAGATCCAATGCACATAAATACATTCAAGACTTCTGTCATCTAGGCTGGAAAAAACCTCGAATTTCCTATAGAAACTCCTGGGTAGCAGTTATCCACACTAAAAGTACTCTACTTGCAAGATAGTCTGAGTAGTCATTTTGTGAAGCTTGCTCTTATGGTGATAGACTTTAAATCTGAGACAACAGCAAAACCAAACCCAGGCATAATTTCTTGTGGCTAGGCGCGTCAGTGAATAACTTAATACTTGCATCATTACCACTTATATAACATTGTTTTTTGATCAGAGTTACCTATTAATAAAAACCCAACAACTTTAAAAAGTATTCCTAAGGTCTGATGTATTGTGCAAAGTGCATGCTTTTGTACTGGGAATGATCCAATGGCATGTAACTCGTGTAGCTTTGCGACTCCCAACTTACGATACTGTACAGTCATCTCTGGATCTACCCTTACCCCTTCTACCACCCTGCAGATCCTCCCTGCTTTCATCCCTGTTATTGATGGCACTTTCCAAATCCTGTTCTGAAACATCTTCCTCTGCTATTATTTCCACTTTATTGGAATCTGATGCTTCAATTTCATTTTCCATCACATCAGCCTTCTCATCAGTTTTGCACACCGCCTCCCCTTGCGAGCACCCTTTTTCTTCAGGCTCATCTCCTGTTTTATGCTGCAAGTTATCATTTTCAGTCAAGGCACCTTGGGTTTCTGTTTTGTCTGTTACTTCTTTGGCTTCGTCTGTTTGGGCAGCTTTTCCGACAGCACCATTTGCTCCCTCACCCTCTCCTTTCTTTGTATCAACTTTCTCTCCATCACAGTTTCCATCAGTTTCTAGTATCTGTTTTGACTCTTCATCAAAGTCAAATGCATCACCATCATCTTCCAGTCTTTCTTCTGCTTGACCCTCCAATTTAACTTGTTCACTAACATCTTCATCCTGCTCATCTGTCTGTGCCAGGGAAGTATCTGCACCTTCCTTGGAAGTGAATTGATGCCCATGTTTGTCTGCAAGCTCTAACTGTTGCTCCTTTTCTTTTGGTGTTTCTTTATCAACTTTGTTTTCAGTAGTTACACTAAGATCTACAGCTGATTTCTCTTTAGATCCACCTTCCTCTTGCTTATCTACATTCTGCAATTCACCTTCTAAAGGAGTATTTTTCTCGCTCACTGTATCATCTGTTGCTTCTTCACTACATGAAAGTTTCTGAATGTCTGCCTTTGGCTTTGAATCTTCTAGCCATTCTGTCCTACTTTCCTTTCCTTTCCCAGACACATCCCCCATTTCCTCTTCTGACTCTTTAATTTTGTCATCTAAAAGACCTGGGTCTAAACTGGTTTCCTGAGTTGTCTCCTCTTTGATAACGGCCGTGTCTGGCTCTGCCTGCTGCAGCACACTGCCTTTCACCTCACTGACACAGCCAGCAGCCTCCACAGGTGCCTCACTTCCCTCGCCTCTTTCTGCAGAACCCAAGCACATCTCCAGCTCTTCTATTAGTATCTCCTTCTGTTCGTCCTTCTCAGCCGTAGAATTTTCATGTTCAGTTTCATCTTGTATATGTTGTTCCTCTGATGATGCTGCAGGATTGTTCCCTAAAGAAACTGGTTGGATTTGTGCCTCACCTTCTCCACATTCCTTTTCAGTTGTATCTGCTGGGACACTAGCTTCATACGACCCCATCCCCTCAGACCCCACAGATTCCGTTTCCCTAGTCTGACCCTGAACTGCACTCTCAACTTCATTTTCTTCTTCAGCTCTATCACCTTCTGTTTTATCAATTCTTCCATCAGTGCAGCCTTTGCTTTCAACAAGCTTTTCTTCCATGACATTTGTAACCTTGTTTTCATCACTTTCTTCCGAGTGCTGGAGTCCCTCAGGGCAAGTTTCCACATTTACCTCTTCAGTAAGTGAGCCCACTGCTGTAACCTCTGGTAGCCCTGCCTGGTTAGAAACCAACTCACAGCTCTCACTTGTCACGCTGGCTTCCTGATCCACTTTGTCATTATCACTCAGGGCATGGCTAGTTTTAAAATCCTCTCGTTCCTCCTGTTCAGATGCAGCTTTTCCCAGTTCCTGCTCTGTATCTAAGTCACTAGGCATTTCCTGAGGAGTCTCAAAACCCTGGTGGCCTTGCAGAGAGCCCACCTCCAAGTTCAGATTGGTCCTTGCATTTAATTCATGGTGTTCAGCCTCCGTTCTAACAGGGTGTTGGACTGCTGGGCCTGTGGACTCTGCCTCCTCTCTCAAATCATCTGTGCCACTATCATCATTTGAAGAAGCACTCCCTGAGACATGTTTTGTAAGGCTTTGAATTTGTTCTGTAAACCTGCTATCTGGTAACATCACTGTTGACAGGGCATCACATTCTTCAACCATTTTTTCTGCCTTTGCATTTTCATCAGCATGCAAGGTCTGTACTTCCTGCTCCTCAGACTCCACTTTGTGTTCCTCACGCTCAGTATTCTGAAAGATTTCTCTTTTCCCCATATCCTCCAAAATCTCATTTTTCATGTCCACTTCATTGGCTTTGCCTAAAAGACCATTGAGAAAGTTGAAAGGACCACATCACAGCACAGCACTTACCTCCCCACTTAAAACCCGAAAGAGAATGAATCAAAGAACACGTTAATAAAAGATCAGTTTTTGCCAATTATGTGAGGCAAAGCAGCAATTGAATTAGTAAGAGGTTGGGGTTTTTGATCAGTGTAATTCACCACCACCCTCTCAAAGCAAGAAGTCTCTGATGCTGGCTTGTGTTTTTGTAAATTAGAAGATTTATGCTCTTGGCTGTGTGAATTAAACCTTTCCTACAGGAGAACAACTGTTTCGGGCAGTGCAGTTTAACAGTAATACTTGCAGATGTAAGGCTAACAGTGAAGATTACTTTTCTCAGCAACACCCTCCACAACTTTAACCCTACCACCACTCTATGCATGGAGTGCATGTCTGATGCCATCATAATGAAGTAATCCAGGATTATTCAGTAATATTTTGCTCCACAGTATCATGAACAGGCATCATCAGTGTATATGACCAACACTGAATGTAAAATCTGATTGGCAAGCAAATGGTTCAGTTGTTTAATGTTACCAACACGGATCAAAGCTCAGGTACTTAGTGCCCCTTATACCCACTTCAGCCACCTAAAGAGATGAGGACTTGTGTGGGTCGTTTAGGTTCTTTTTCTCCCAACTGTTTTTCTTCAAATTATATTTAGTAGCAACAGGTACTAACAACAGTATTTGTGGCTTCAGCAGCTAGTGTTTGGGTCTATGTTGTACCTAATTAAAAAAAATAAATAAAATTTTCCAGAATAAGGTGACACAGAAAACATATTACATTTAAAAATACACCCTTACCTTTGTTTTGGTGTTCCAGATTGTTTCCACATGAAAACTCAGTGAGGAAAAAAGCAGACAACAGCTAGAAGCAAGGTAACTTGGACTTGCAACAGCTGTCTGCCTCTTGCTGTTTGTTAATATGTTCATTTAGAACAAAAACAGGAGGAAAATAAAAATTCCTTTCTTTCCAGTATTTAAGAGTTCTTTGAGTGGCCATTCATCACACGTGTGTAAGAAGAGAAGTTTTTGCCAACCAGATTTCTTCTTCCTAATGCTATCCATCTCAAGTTATATTTTTTTGAATTTAACAGTGTTAATATAAGATGTAAAAAATGTTGAAGTGTTACCAGTTACTCAATAGTACAGGATAGCAAGCACAACCAACTCACACATTAGTGTGTTTTAACAGTGCCCAGCACTGTTGTCCAGCAGACACTTACAGATCTCAGGTATGTAAATGAACCAACATACAAGTTCTTTATAGGAAACTAAAATGCTTTTTCTCTGATTCTTTAGGCTATGTGCTGAAAAATACTGAACAACGGTAGGATTATTCTCAGACAATTTTCAAATGGAGGGTTTAAATAGTATTGCTACTTATCTGTAATGTAATATTTGTATTCTCATCCTTTGTCGCCTTGAAGGGGAAATGAAGTCTGCCCCTGCACTGAACTGCACGACATACTTGAAGTGATAATAAATATTAAGCAGAAAAATGCATAGGAAGTGATTTGACAAGTAGCATGCTGCGTGATGTGTTAATTGTCCCACTCACAAATGCCCAAACTCCAAGCAGAGATGAATGAATGGACAGAGGGACAGAAAGACGTGAGAGGCTACATAGCACTTACCTAGCATCCCATCCCCTCCCGCCTTTAATGCCCGAGTTGTCCCTGGAACAGTTTTGGAAGAATCCAAGTGTCCTTCATTATCAAGAATGTCTGATGTCTCCCCGTTTGTGGCTACGTCAGAGTCTGGGATTATTCCGTGTTTCTGTGGAGAAGCAAAAGCAATGCTTTAGAGCCTTGCTCAGAGATGGGAGAACTGCTCAGCTGTTCTTCTCCTTAATAGTCTGAATAAAAAATTGTTTCTTTCATTCCATTACACATGGCTGGAAGTCAGAAAAGAGCATCAAGTATTACAGGCCTCAGTTTAGCCATTATAATAGAAAGCAGGTGATCACAGGTATTTTTTTTTTTTTAAAAAAATGAATTTTAAACATAAATCTGCTGCATATAATGTTTCTCAGAGAACCATCTCCTGGAAATACAACTACTTAATACCACAGTCTATACACACACAGTCAATATTGGGAGAAGGACTTCATACAGAAAATTCCTGAAATGTCAACTTACAGGCAACATGAAAATAAGAGTTCTTGCTGCTGAGTTAGATTAAAATTTTCTGCAAAAGTGTATAGGAGTAAAAAGGTCAGGAGTTGAATATGTTTCTTTTATTCCTCTTGCATACCTTCAGTTGCTCCTTCAGCACAACCACTTCATCTCTAAGGTCATCCCGCTCACTCCTTATGGAATCAAAGAAATCTTTCTGCCTCTCTAACGCCTGAGTTCCCAAACAGAGAGAGGGCGAGGAGGTGTCAAGAAAGGAAGGGAGACAAGTAAAGACCATGAAAAGTGTGAACAAGAATGAGCAGATTTAAGATATTCAGAGATTCAGGGAAGTATCACGTATGACAAAAGTAAAGTTTACGGATTAAAGGACTGAGATTGTCTACACACACATTAACTTCAAATCCAAGAAACGCACAGCTTAATTCAATAACCAGGAATTCCTGCTAATGACATTCAGAGCCAAATCCTTCATTAGGGATCCTTCAAATGAAGATCCACTTTTGATTCTTACCTGCTAGACAAGTTAATTAATATCCCTACGACATCAACAGCCACACTGAAGACAGAGCAATTCCCGTGTGTTAACAAGAGGGCAAGAAAGCACCTCAGCAGATTTTAAGTCTTTTTATCCCATGGGTTACCATCATGGGTGCAGCACACTCCAATTAATTTCAAAGTTGCCAATAAGTCATCTTTAGACTGGGATGTACCTTGTGCAAGTGCATATTTTGGTACTTACCCCCTCACCCATATATTTCTATATAAATACACAATTAGAGAAGTAACAAAAATCAGAAAAAAATTAGTTTCAAATTGCTACAAGTTAATGGACATTGCAAGTGTGGGCATGTTGCCAGATTTCTTTCTCCTTCTATATTCAGAAAGTCTTTCAGTGCTCACTGTTAAAAAAGAAAGCCATGCTTTTATTTAAGAGCGAGTTTCCATTTGGCTTTGCTAGAGGGTGGTGGGAATGGATGAGAAGCAAGGGAGAGTCAAGAGAGTTTCATCCCACTAGACCATAAATAGCTCATTTGCTGCTGTATCACACTCCAGTTTCTGCTCAGTCTGCAGATTAAATCTGAATAAGCAAAAACTCAGTGCTGAGGGAACTGCAGTATAAATAGCACTTCCTTTCTCAATACACTAAATAAAGATGGTGCACCACAGCAAATCAATCACCCTAAGTCTTGAAATCAGACCAGCTGTGAAGTTTTTCTTGGATTTTATGACACCAGCCAAAGACAAAATCTACTATTTGCTAGTTCACTGGTAATGTAGTAGTAAGACAACTACAGCAAGCAAAGTCACTAGGGAGGATTTTATTAATGAGTTTTTGCAAAAGCAGGATCAGAGGGAGAACAACAGTGCCACTGTGAACACATTTCAGGAGTTGACAGTCCTACCCCTATTTTTTTGTCTTTCCACTCTATTGTCTCCTGAAGATCAGAAATTTCCCTGACATAGCTCTGCTGTTTCTGTTGCAGCTGTTGGATTTCCTGAGAGACAGGAGCAAAACAAGAAGACAGAAAGCAGGTAACAGGTTAACAAAGAAGGTCAAGATTGCAGTGATGCCAAAGAATGAAAAAAGTCAGGTGCTGAAGTAAAAGAGTAGCTACATGCACAGTTTCCGACTCAACTAAAGCTACAGTCCTGAAGACAATCTTACTACCCATGATATGACTTAAAACAAGTGATACAGGTCCACTGTTTTCCTCCACATCTCCACAAACAGCTGTCTGAAACGCAGCTTGTTTTGTACTGTAGACAGGGCGAAAAAAAAGAAGTTCCACTCCAGATAATACTTAGGAAAGTACTATTTCTATTAGCCAGCTCTGAACCTGTTTGGCCGGAAACACTAGTGTTTCTTCAGGTGAGAAATTTGAGTAGGGAATAAAATTTCTCCATGCCTCACCTTCTACACTCCTACTGCTAACTGGGAACATACTAATCAAAGAAGCCATTAAAAAACCCCCAAAAGTTACTTACTGCAAGCATTTCTTCTCTTTGCTTCAAAGCCTCTTTGATTTCCATGAACTGAAACTGCAATATGCTATGAGCGTGCTTCTCCCTCTCAAATTCCTATGAATAATGAAATATTAATGAATTTTTATTGATCAGAAATAGCATCCCATGAAAAAAAGAGAAAATAAGCCCAACCACAAAGAAAATGCTTACCACAGTGCAATTCCTGAATATTCCTCTGATCACAATCCCACAAGAGTACAATTTTTATTTGTCCTTTTCCCAAGAAACTATTATTCCATCAAATATCGAAGTAATAGACATCATTTAGCCAGTTTTGCAAGCTGAGCAGGAGGCTAGTAGTGAAGAGCTTTTACACTCAAGTCCTACAGACATCACAGATGAATGGATGGGAATTTAATCCCCTTTTTCCACGTAGCTGTGGACTAAGAGTTAGCTAGATATTGCAAACTTTAAAAAAACCCCAACACACCATATCTTCCAGGAACTGTGTGTTTTGAAGTGCGCTATGGTTAAGTGCCCCAAGCTAAAGAGCAGGTTCTGAAAAGCTAGCACAAGCCACAGCTTTATTATTTAACACCAACTCAGCAGCTGTCAGATGCTGAATTCACGGCAAACTTAATTCGGCTCTCAACCCAGTAGCTGCCTTCACTATATAAGCTGCACAACTCCCACAGGCCTTCTGAAAAGACCTTTGTCTGTGTAAGTGCTCCAGAAGTCACCTTTTGAACAAATTCTCTATTTTTACTTTAAAGATGGAATATAAAAGGACACGTGCTAATATCAATACACCCGTGTCATATTAAAAAAATATCTTCACCTCAAAAATTCCTCTGTAAGACAGAAACTTAGGGAAGGTTCCCATTTGTATGATCACAAGCATGTAATATGCTGCTATTCTACATGCTTTAACAGCAACTAAACCAATAACTTTTTAAAATCTTGAATATTAATTTGGCTGCCTCCTCCCAAAAGTCTCTGCCCCCCTCCCCAAGATTCCCCCGTTAAATAACGTGCCATAACTAGACACATACTTTACTTTTTTCTTCATATTGCCGCCTGGATTCTGCCAGCTGTTCTTCTAACTCTAAGAGCGCATCCTTCAGGGTATCTACTTGGTACATGAAATTGGTTTTTTCATTGTCTAATTGAGCATTGGACACCATAGCCTTTTTATATTTCTCTTCAACTTCAGCTAGAGAGTCCTGAAAAGAATAAGCAACCACAGAGTTTTACCATGCAAGCCCTTAAACAAGAAAATTAAGTACTAAACCACAAGCACACCGAGTACTCCTACAAAAACCAGCGCTAATCAAGTGCTTACCATGTGTCCCAAGGTGAGGGAAACCTCCTCAGTGTTGCCACCAGTCGGCTGTTTACAAGCAAGGAACCTTACCTCAGGACGGATAAAATGTTTCCTGTTCTCTGCTGCTTCAGCTTCTGCCTTCTCAGAGTCTTCTTCCTTCTCCCTCCTCCCCCTGCCCCTGCATGTTGGCAGCTCAAAGCAGCTGCTGAAGATGACAAGTTGGATTTTTTTTTTAAAGGTAAACTGGCCTTGATTTAAGATAATTTAGATGATCTTAGGCCTTAAATTAAGGCAGTCTGACAGCCACTTCACACAGACTTCAGGGATCCTTGCAGTGTGGGAACCACTAAACATACTGATTCAGGAATTAGAACCGGCCATGAAAAATCTGCAGCTTTTGTAACCCGATGTATCATTTTTCATTCGGATTCCTATATCACATCCCTTCTTTACAAATTACCCTGTAAGATAAAATTCCCAGGGTCTCAAAAACCCCTCCTATCAACTTGGCCTGCATAGGAGATACTGAGGTATTTACAGTGACAGTGACAGATGATGGCAAAATAAGTACCAGGATCATTTTCCATGATGTGCGGTATTTGACTTTAATAAAGAAAGAAAACATTGCAAATATGCAAACAAGGAGGAAACTCATGTCAACATTTTAGTTTACAGGTCAAACAATTCCTCTCAGAATTTAAGTAATTCTAATAATCCCACCTAAAGCACAGGTGAGTTTCATATACTTCCCTTTCCATTCAGTCAGTGGAACTGGAGATGACATCTTCTATGGTGAGGTGACCACAGAATGGTTTGGATCACATAAGGGACCTTTAAAGATCATCTAGTTTCAATCCCCCTCCCATGGGCAGGGACACCTCCCACTAGACCAGGTTGCACAAGGCCCAATCAAACCCTGGTCTTGAACACTTTTAGGGATGGAGCATCCACAACTTCCCTGGGAAACCTGTGCCAGTGTATCACCACCCTCATGATGACAAAATTAACTTTGAATCTGTTTAGTTTACATTGCTATTGATAGATAAAATAATTGTCAAAAATCACAACAAAAGGCAGTCTAATGGACACAAACTGAAAAATGCTTTACATTTTTTATGTAGTGGGATTATTTTACTACACCTGCTACACAGTAATCAGGGAGGGGAAAAAAAAAAGCCCCAGATTTTACAGAAAAAGGGCCACACTACTCTTTTTCTATTGACAACTAGGGAGACCTTATTGCAGCCTTTCAGTATTTAAAGGAGGCTCTTTTGCTGACCACATATGCCAATAGGAAGGGTATTATCATTAGCAGACAGCACATAAGCCAGATTTCCCCTCCCTCCAGTTTTAAATCACGTGCAGGGGATCTGAGGCGGCCAGCGGCTGGAGGAACGCCAGGGTCGCCATGTTCACTGCGGGTGCAAGACGCAGTGGGGACAGGAGCAAATCAGCCGAGGAGCCAGGTGACCAGTCCAATGCCAACTGCGTGGCCATGACCATAGAATGGTGCCATTCTCATATATACTCCTTCCCCTGCTCCCAGCCATACTGATGTCCCACCTCTGCTGGGGGCTCAGCCTACAACGGGCAGCTGGGGAGCCCTTCCAGTAACTGAACTCCTACACAGTGTATTCACTACAGATGTAAGCTTCCCCCAAGCCACTGCAGGCAGAACCAGCTTTTATGCTCTTAACATGGGGGCAGGACACTTGATGTTAATGCTGAAGCTGAGGGTATCTGGTGGTGATCTCCTAATTGGTTCCCACCCAAGGCTGGGCAGACCCTGTGTGAAAATCCATCACATGTCATCCACGTGTCAACCCTGATTCAGGGCTGGGGGTTTAGAGCCCAGCACTTCAGAGGCCTCTAAGAAAGCTGGAGACAGACTTTTTAGCAGGGCCTGTTGTGACAGGACAAGGGGTGATGTTTTTAAATGAAAATAGGGTAGATTTAGACAAGATCTAAGAAAGAGATTTTTTACACTGAAGGTGGTGAAACACTAGCCCAGGTTGCCCAGAGTGGTGGTCAATGCCCCATCCCTGGAAACATTCCAGGTGAGGCTGGACAGGGCTCTGAGCAACCTGCAGATGTCTCTGCTCACTGCAAGGGGGTTGGAACTAGGTGATCTTCAAGGGTACTTTCCAACCCAAACCAGTCTGTGATTCTGTAACTCATTTAAGATAGCAGCATCTTCACCTGTCACAGCACGGAGCCAATGACACAGTGAGCATTTAATGCTGATAAATGTTGTGCTATAAGCCTGGATGTCTACATAGACGTTTGCAAGACAGCTTTTTCTGAAAAATGCAGCTCAGGTTCTGCTCACTTTTAAGGTGGTTAAAATAGTTGTTGCATCAAAATCTGTTTAAGGCTTTCTGGAATCAGTAAGCACTTCTTTAGTTTTTGCACTTCACTGATGTGAGCATTCATTCTTCACATAACAAGCCTTGTTACATGGAGTTACATCTATGAAGATGCTGAGGGGACTGGGGCATCTCTGTGACAAGGAAAGGCTGAGAGACCTGGGGCTGGTTAACGTGGACAAGAGAAGACTGAGAGGGGATCTGATCAATGCTCATCAATGTCTAAAGGGCAAGGGTCAAGAGGATGGGGCCAGACTCTTTTCAGTGGTGACTAGTGATAGGACAAAGGACATTGGGCACAAACTGGAACCCAGGAGGTTCCATCTGAACAGGAGGAAAAAATTCTTAGCTGTGCAGATGCCAGAGCCTGGACCAGGCTGCCCAAAGAGGTTGTGGAGTTTCCTTCTCTGGAGAGATTCCAAACCCCCCCTGGACACGATCCTGGGCACCCTGCTCTGGGTAAGACTGTTTTAGCAGGGGGGTTAGACTAGATGATCTCCAGAGGCTTCTTCCAACCCCCACCATGCTGGGATTCGGAGTTTTGTTACAAGAATTGTTTAAAGGTGTCTTTTGTGATCTAAATATGAAATCAAAATTATAGTCCCCACTTCACATGCACAACTTTCCAAAGGCATGCTGGACCTTACTGAAACAAAAACATACAAGCTTGTGAACTCCCATTTTTCACAGCACTGTAGGACATGAGCTCTAGTTCATCTTCCAATATTGGGATGTTTCCCCAATTAGGACACTATAAAGAACCCCTAACAATGTTCATTTGCTAGCCAAACAATTACCTTCTCAAAACATCAAACACACCATGCAACAGTAATCAGCAGCCTTCAGTTAACACTTGGAAGCATTTCTCACCACAATCAGTGGAGGTCACAACAGATACTTTCCCAGTTAATGAAACACTTTTCACACCACATACAACCCCTCCCAGAAGAGAAGCATGCAAGGTGAGGTCTCGGTCTCATACTGCTCTTCTACATGTTTAGCTGGTGTTCATGATCACACTCCCAGTTTGCAGTAAACCAGTACCTTCATTTCTTTCAGTCCCTGCATGTATTTGCCTTCTACATCCTGAATCTGGTCCTTTAACTCATAGATATCCTAAGGGAAACGGTGAGAAAGGTGAATGATGCTACTGAAACTAACAGGATGGAGCGCAGCTGATAGGTAAAAAAAAAGTATTCAAAATTCTCATTTCAGCATTCCTACTGCACAGGTTAAAGGGTCTGATCCTAACCAGAAGCCTTGCTGGACAATGACATTTCTTGGTTAGTTTATGCTAATTCTGATTTTCTTGACTGGAAAAAAATGGAAGTCTTCAATGTTAAGGACAAGATGCAGACCCAGCTTCAAAGCCTCCAAAAACCCTCCTATACACCTCAGCTACACAGCCCTTCTTCTACCCATTTCATCCATTCTCACTCTTTGAGGAGTTCTGGGCTTAAGGGCTGCCAAAGCAAGCCTGAAATACAGGCTGTGCTAGAAATGCAGGAAAGACTGTAAGAAAACCATCTGTGACACTAAATTTAATTACAAGTCCTACTTCACAGTCTCCCTCCTCTTTTGTCCTTCTCACCAGCAAACGTCTATCTTTCAGCTGGTTTACAGTGTTGAAACTGGGGCAGACCTGCTTGTGCCTGAGGTCCTCATACAACTTCCAGGTGTTTTAACTGGCTGTAACTTCAGAAGAGCTGCAAGTTGTATGTGTGGAAATAAACAGAATTCAGATGCCCCATTTTAAAACTGAGCATTCTCTAGAATGGAACATTAAAAACAGATTCCAAACCTCCATCTAGCTATGGACCACTCAGACCAGAGCTCGAGGATATGAACAATGAAATGTTCAAAATACAAAATACAGCCCCCTCCCCAAATTATCATCCAGCAAGAGCAGCACTTCTCGTGTTCAATCCTCCTAGCAGTGTGCTATATTGAGTCCATTTCCCATGTCATTAATAACAGTCCTAATTAGTATTAGTAGCCTGTGAGCCCAAATTCTTACTGCCAGTTTCTTAGTCAGTAATGGGAATATCGGGACCACTTTCAAGTAAACTGATGGTATATTAATTTACCATTAAAACATCCTGATCAAAAGAGACATAATTAAGAGACAAATTACTATCAATTTATGGTGGGTTTAAGTATTTCTTACCTTAATTTCTCTAATAGATGCCTCTGTATCAGCTGAGATGGAGGTATCTCCACTGCCTCTTCGTGAAGAAGTCCCTCCCAGAGATGCTAAGGTAGCTGCTGATAAACTTGAGACAGTACGTGCTCCCTACAATCACACACAGTTAAAAACAATTATAATTTTTTCTCTATAAATATTGTAGATTTGTACATTTGGATTTTTCTTTTTAATACACCCATTATACCAACCCTTGAACTTCTGATTATGATTACACTTGATTAAAATGTAACTTCCTAAGAAGAAAAATCAAAAGATCAAGATTTGAAAAGGGAAACTAATGAGAAAAGACTGATCAGATATATTTAAATTCTACTAAGCTAGGAGTTGCATGGCTTAGATTCTAACCATTAATTCTAAATTAGACTAAGTCTAATTTAGTGTCCTCTTGGCTAGTATCATCTTGGCAGATATTTTCAAAACTTGTAATGAAATATTTTGTTGATGTTTTTGACTATAAGCTCCTCTCCTTTCACCTACATTTCTCTATTCTGCAGCATTAGCCACACTATTTTACTGTACTCAGGGTTCTCCATTGAGCCAATTTCTCACTACTGCAGCATCTGCCTCTATTATTAGTTATATTTATGTAATACCATAGTTAAAATCTAATATATAAAACCAGTATTCACATGGCTTTGCCTAATGCAATTTCAGCACACCGTTACTAAAGGTCAACTACTTAACTTCTGAATAACCAAGTTTGTCTTAAAAAAAAAAAAAAAAAGTAGTAATAGAAGGCTCCAATAATTCAAAGTTTTGCCCCAAAGTGGATTTTCTAGAGGGTTTCTGTGCACTCACTGCAGGTTGCACCTACCAAAAAGAATGTGAAGAAAGTGCTATTGGCAGAATAATTCAGAAGAGCCTTCTTACCTTCTCAAAGTCTTTTTCTGGTCTTTCCTCAATCTGTGAGATAAAGATTTAGAAAGAATTGTTATATAACAAAGGACAAGGGAAGGCAGTAGGATATCAGAAAGGGAATTCTTTAACCTGTAAAAGATTTTTCATAGCAATTGCTAGCCACTCAAAACGCAGCTGGCTTGCTCAGAACAGCAGTATCCTGGCTGGCATCTCAGGACACGAGGCTGGACAATTAATCTCAGATTTCTAAGCAGTACGTAATTAAATGGAATACACTTATTTAATAGACTAAATATTTTTTTTATCAATAAGACAGAGGAATACTTTTTTTTTTCCCCCAGGCTCTACATCACAGTGTTTCAAACATGAAGACAGCACTCGAGTTAACAACACAAGAATACAGAGACCTACATGGGCATGAACTTAAAAGCCCCAGATGTCTTTCCCTGGACATGAAAATAGCTGCATGCAACTTCTGGGCTGACATATACAGCCACTCTTATTTACTTTAGAACAACTTTAAAATGTGCCTCAAATGAACCCCAAACAGCAATTTACTTAAATAGAGAGGACACATTTCTTAATTGAAAGATGAAGAGATTTCCAGACCAAGAAAGCTTCTCGATATTACTTTTTTTTATGGACCTTTACCAAAAAAATGCTACTTCTGAAGCCTGCCAGCACAGCCTCCCCCTTTCCAAAACGCAAGGTACCACCTTAAGACTCAAAGGACTGTACTGTGTCTGCACTGCTCCCAAAAGAAAAAAGAAATTTAAAGCTTAAAACCTCTGATAAGACAAAAGGTGACTATGGCTTCAAGCAAATATCCAAGTAAGGCTGACACTACAGAAACTGACCCTCAAGTCAAATATGAAGGATCAGTTCAAAGTCTCAACAAATAACTCTTTTATGATTTTAGTACTTCACTGGAATTTACTAATTCAGAAGAAAGATCTTGCACTAAAGCTAGTCTAAAAGAAACAAAACAGAGCCAAAGTGGCAAAAAATCACCATGGATACTAACAGCTGAAATCCTTAAAGGGAAGTTAGAGAGCAAAACCTATATACAACCTCAGCAGATTTTTTTTTTTTTTCACCTTGATGGGAACCATCCTGTCAACTTATTACTGCTCTGAAACCAAACCAAATATACACGTTCCTAAAAGCAGAAATTTAAAACCAAAGAGTTTTGCTATTATTCACTTTGCTACTGAGGGACAGAAAAAAAGAAAGTGTGTTTCACAACATAATCTAAAGACATAAAAACATAAACATAAAGGCAGGGGATAGTTGAAGTTAAGTTGCTAAGTCTACATTGAAACACACTCAAGAACTAAATCTCTTTCCAATCAGTCCACATTTGGCACAGGGTTATTTTCTTTGAATTATAGTAATATGTGGGTGATCCCACTCATTATTTTTCATATTACCCATGGTATCCTAAAAAAAGAAAATAATCCTAGGATTGAGAATGATTACACATCAGCTTTTTACACTGACAACACACTAATTATAAATTCCCTATGATTAGCATAAAGAGAGTTTAAGACTTGGGCTTCAAACCAACCAGACAAAGTACTAGATAAAAACGTTGTAAAGACACTGAACACACAAAGTCCGGGGGCGGGGGGAACTTAGTTCAGACCCAATAAAAAAGATGGGCTGACTTTTGCAGACAGCCCATTATTTTCAGGCCAGACAGCTCCAAGTGGTGGATTTGGCAGCCTTCTAGCTTGGCCAAACACTGGGTTTGTTGTTTATCAAGACAGCTGTGGCAGTGTAAATATTACCACACTACCAAAAGTTAGTGTATACACCCCCCTGCCCGCCCCCTACTTCCAGAAATTTATGTACAGCCTTTTGTGAGTTCCACCTCATGGATTCAGAGCACAATTCAACATATTCACGCTCACAGTGTCTCGTCCTACTGGGGGATTTCAACCACCCTGATATATGCTGGAAAAGCTGCATGGTGAGCTGTAGGCAACCCAGGAGACTCCTGGAGTGCCTTGATGACAACTTCCTGGGGCAGGAAATAGACGCCCCTACTCGAGGGGATGCAACACTAGACCTGATGGTCACAAATCCTGGTGAGCTCATCAGGGACATCAAGGTAGGAGGCAGCCTGGGCTGCAGTGATCATGTATTAGTGCAGTTCACAGTACTACAGGGTATGAGGGAGTTAAAAAGCAAAGTCAAAGCCCTAAATTTTAAGAGAGCAAATCTCTAGCTCTTCAAGGAGTCAGTCAGTAAGACTCCCTGGGAAATAGTCCTTGGGGACAAGGGAGCGGAGCAGAGCTGGCAGTTCTCTAAAGATGCATTTCATAGAGTGCAAGAGTTCTCGACTCCCAGCTGTAGGAAATCAG